TTATATTTTATGGTTAACTTTTTTTTCTTTTCAAGATTGACAGGGGAGGCTCTGCCTCACCTGCCTTCCCTGACCGCACATCACTGCATACCTCATACCTAGGGCTGGATGCATTATGAGTACATTCAGAATTAGATAAATGTATTATGCTAAGGGTTTCTTAGAATTTATCCTGAGAGCTTAACTTTCTTTTGCCTTCTCCAAGTAAGCAACACTGTTTCCTTTAATTTAAAACTTTTTTAAAACACTTTTACTGGTTATAATGTTTTGGACCAAGGTTTAATTTATATGTACAAAACAGTTCAGTACAAATGAAAAAAGTTGCACTAACAGTGGCATAATTATTTTTAATTTTAAATGAATGGTTTCGCATACAGGTGCATACAGTAGCAGATGCTTCAGCTAAGTCCAGACTTCATTGATGAGTGTGGTCACAGACAGGACAGAAACTGAAAGCCTGTTCACTAATTCATTTGCACTGACTGTGTTGGCAGGACATCAGCCTGATGATGCAGGTGATGAGCTTCAGGATATCCAGAGTCAGCTAGCCATCCTGAGTCACGACAGTACCATAAACTCTGGCTGGTCTTCATAGACTGTAATTATTTATATCACAGGTTACAAGACTGTTGTGACTCAAGGCAACTAATATAGCCAGCTGTCATCTATGTTAGTCTACTTCTTAACTATAAAAACACCTATGTTTGTAACAACTTGTTTTCTACAAAGTAGACATTTTACATGTCATGCAGTTCTGGCATTAATGTGGGCAGTCAACCATATAGGTCTCACTGTTTTAATGTTTGACTCTGCTTCTCGTCTCAAACTTAACCCACTGAAAGGGATTTTAATCAGAATGTGAGTGAATCCAGCTTCTAAATCGCTCGCTGTCCTGCAGGGCAGAGGGGCACTTTGGGTAAATCCCAATTCCCTTAATTGCATCCATGCTTCCCTTGAGTCTTTTCCTTGGGTCTTTGGAATCAGGCAAACACATCTATATGGACATGAGACTTCCTTTCCTCTAGTCTTTATTCTGAAGTGTCCAATTGCCAAATAATTTGTGCTGGGTCATAAAAGCCAAATGCAGAGAAATGTCTCGTTTTCTCGCTTGTGACATCTTCAGGCAGCCTTCTCTTTCCTTACTTCTCAGGGCAGGAATAAGAGCTTTGGGATGTTCTTCAAGACGGTTGACTGGAACAACTACGGGTCGAGTGAGAAACAGTCAAATGAGGGAATTGGGTTTTAACCTGTGTGTCACTAAACACACAGGTTACACCTATAACCATGGCAACTGTATACAACAAAGATGGTGACAGCTGTATCCTAGGAACGTTTAGATATAAACATTAAAACATTAAAAATGACTAAAGCTAGACTAAAATATCTTTAGTTTTTGTTCACTTAAACTAGACTAATGCATTTTTGCCAAATCAAATTTGGGTGCCAAAAATTAAAATGCTGGTTCAAAATGAATGCTGTTTCAGTGTGCAATATAATTTATATTCTACTCATATCTTTAAAAAAATTCGACTCATCTTTTAAAAAAAAATCTAAATCAACTTGTCTGTGGCCTCATGAATTGTTTATGGTTTATCCCCTGATGGCCATGGGTTTTTCTGTTTGCTATCCCAGGTTTGACTACACAGGACATGGTGCCTCAGAGGGGGTGCTGGCAGAAGGAACCATTGGTACCTGGAAAAAAGATGTTCTTTTCATGTTGGATGAGTTAGCAGAGGGACCACAGGTAAAAACATTGATTTGATTTGAGTTTCATTGTGTCACTACACAGGCAGCCTAATCACAGATATCTTTTTTTACATGGACAGAGGTACTAAATGATGTTGGACTTTACATCTATCTATCCTTCTATATACTCTGTGTGTGTGTGCATGTGTGTATTAAGTAAATTGAAGAATCTGTACAAGATTTGGAATGGTTTCAACTTGCAATGTGGGCATGTCACAATGTCTCCAGTAGGTGGCACTGTGTCACCATGTTTTTGGTATTTTTATTCTTCCCCCTGCCATGATTTGGTGTTGTCTTAATTGTATGTTTTAATGAGGATGTTTTTCTGTGTTAATCAGCTGAGTATTGATATACAGTCAGTTTACTGGAGTTTTATTTGCTTATAGATACTGGTGGGTTCAAGTATAGGTGGTTGGCTCATGCTGCTGGCAGCTATTGCACGACCAGAGAAGACCGCCGCACTGCTGGGAATTTCCAGTGCCACTGATCACCTTGTGACATCGTTCAACTCTCTTCCTCTGGAGGTGCGAGCATTAAATATTACCATGTACATCACATGACTAGTTATTTAATTTTGAACATTTATGAATTTTATTTTTATATTTAAATATTTTTCTGAGAAAGTTCATGTTTAAATTTGCAGTCTCGTAAGGAGTTTGAGGAAAAGGGGGAGTGGACAGTGCCCAGCAAACACTCAGAGGAGGGTTTTTACAAGTTTAGCATGGACTTTTTGCGTGAGGCAGAAAATCACTGTGTGCTCCACAGTCCCATTCCCATCACCTGCCCCGTGCGGCTCATTCATGGGCTCAAAGATGAGGATGTCCCCTGGCACATATCCATGCAGGTTGCAGAACGTATCCTCAGTCCTGATGTGGATGTTATCCTTCGGCGACATGGCCAGCACCGTATGTCTGACAAGGATGATATCAAGCTCATGGTCTACACTATTGACGATCTCATAGACAAGCTGACTACTATGGTTTGAGTAAGGAGGGGGGGGCTTTGAGAGGTTGTTGAACAAAGTTGAGAAGGACTGTGTTTGCTGGAAAGCCAAACATCGAGAAAATAACCAAACATTGGTATGTTTCTCTGCCAGATATGACCTTTCACCCAGCTCTGTTGTTCTCCCTGTATATCATTTGTGAAAGTTGCATTGAAACAGAGCTTACTGTAACTGACATTTATTCCTTTATACGATATCTTTATGTTGCATTTGTATGTGTTCCAGGCTATTATGTTGTGTTCCTCAGCCATAAATAGGTATGCTATTGCTGCCGTCTCTGCCACAGTTTTTCTCTGACTGTTTTCCCTTCCTCTTTGACCAGATGCATAGCTATCTTGTGCCTTTTTTAATCACTTTTCAATTGTTTTGGCCAATAAAACCTCTGCACGCAACAGTGCGGGTCTTAGTCTGTTACTGCAACTAACAATATAATCCACTAACAAACAGCTGTCTTTCAGTTGATATTGAAATGCATACATGGTATGAAAGCTCAAAGTATTTACAATTGTAGCAACTAAATTAGAGAAAAGTATCTTATGTTTCTTATAAAAGTTAATTTTGAAAATGTCAACATCAGGCCCCAACTCAAATCACCACAATTACTGAACAGATAAGAGGACTACAAAATTAGGACATTTATGTAAGATAAATACAGATAAAGTAAATAGTAAAACACAGAACAGAAAGGCAATGTACCAGGTTTGTTGCAGTATCAGCACAGTGAATCATAGCTGTTATGTAGATAGTCAAAATTATCAGGGGTTGTATACTTTATATTTTTGTTAGAGTATTTTGTGATATGACTCTCCAAACATGTTTCCCTTTAGCAACAGTGAGTCCTGCTGCATGGAGCCCTTGGACTGTTGATGATTTACATGTA